GGCTAGGTAAAAGCAGCCTAAGGTACCGAGCAGGGGGGAAAATACCGCTTTTTCGCAATTTATCCCCCGAAAACCAGATGCCCGGTGCCGGCTCGGCTGGGTAGAAGCATCTTAAGGTACTAGGCGGGGGGGAAATACTGCTTTTTAGTAATTTATCCCCCAAACCCAGATGCCCGGCACTGGCATGGCTGGGCTGGTGCCGGGCTGGTGCCACTGGTGATGCCCGTGGTTGATCCGGCCGCGACCCACCAAGGAGTCAGGATCCAGTACCTCCAAGCCACCCTTTCTTCCCCAGAGCCCCCCTTTTCCTCTGGACATGGAGCAGCCACAGGGTTGGGAGAAGCCGGGCAATTGAGGGGGTCCAGGTGGGACTACGGGGGCCATAAACAACCCATGTGCTTGGGTGCCCTTGGGAGGGCTCAGCCCAGACGGCAGCTCCAAAGCCATACCCGGGGCAGCAAGGGGATGCCCGGGGGTCTCCTGCCCCACACAGAGATAGGACCGGAGCTGGTTATAGGGAGATGACATGCTTGGGAGATGCAGGACCCTCCTCCGGTGCTGGGAATGGGTCTGAGGAGGCGTTGAGTACCACGACGGGATCCTGCCAGAGCAAGGACCAGGGGCACACCACCGGTAGGAGCATAAATCAGGAACAACTCAAATTATTTTAAGCACCTAAGCGCTCAGCTGCATTGAATTTCTGAGTGGAGTGAATTCTTCTCTGCGTTAAAATCAAGGTCTGACCTGGTTCCAGTTGGATGTAAGAGCAAAACTATCACTGGCTCTGGAGACAAACGGGCTGAAGTCACACGTGCTCAAAGGCTGCAGGGTTGGAAAAGCTTCTGGAGTTGTTGCTGTGCATTACCAGGGCCCTTTGCCCCATTCCAGACATCTGAAGCTCTGCAAATCTGTTGGGAGCAAAAAACCAAAACAGAGGTTAGGAGGGAGGAGAGCCTGGGATGCATCCCTGTGCCCGGCCAGCAACTGGCGGAGACACAGTCCCCGGCCCCCAGGCAGATCTGGAAATCACAGACTGAGGAACTGCGGGGAAAACGCGAGGTTGAATTATTTGGGCAGATCAAGAGCCAAGAATCACCCAACCCCTCTTATCCACTCCTCCTCTTCCACAAAATAAGCGCCAGCAAGCAATAACTATATATTTTTAATATATCTCTCTCCATACTTATATGTAGGGCATACCCAGGCAAACGTGGCAGGATTTGCGCGTGGGCAGGGATGTGTTTCTATTGAGACAAGCCTGTGGCGGGAGCCCAGAGCCTCTCCCAAAGCCTTTTTTTGCTGCCTGGGGAAGGAAATAGCACATTTCCTACGGCTCCACTCGCGCGCTGGAAACGGTTGGGCCCGAGACAACTTAGGGAGCGCAATCCCCGGCGGCTGGCTGGCATTACGTGGCTTAAAATACAAGCCAGGCTATTTATAGTCAAGGCTGGGCTGATAATAAAGATGTTTATTAAGCATATGGCAACCCTTAATACAAAAAAACCTCATCTATTCCAGCAGGCTTTTCCAATGTAAAGCCCTTTCCCCTCCCCTCCCTCCAGCGCTGGCTTTACTGTGCCAAACAGCAGAAGGAATTAAATTAATCCAGCAGCATGCAGGTTGATTATGAAGGAGTTAAACTGCAATTGCCCCATCGGCCAGGCTACATAAATGCAGCCCCACGCATCCCTCCGTGCTGGTTATCGGGCTGCAAAATATCCTTATCATTCTAAATATTTCAGAGATGTACATTGGGAAATCAGGGGCTGGGCCAGATACTTTGTTCTGCAATGAATTAATAAAAAAAGTTCACTTAAGAAGGGATTTGGGCTGAAATTTGGATTTACTCCGTGCTGTCCACTGGTATCGGGCTGCCCCTCCGTAGGTAGAGGTATGCCACAGTTCAGTATAAATTGTTCTCAAAGCTTTTCCGCCGCGTTATTGTGAGCTCTGCCACAGGACCGGAATAATTTGTCTCCTTGACAGCAAAAGGACATGCTGCCGAGTGAAATAAATAGATGCTCTATTTAAAATGGCAGCAGATTTTCATGGGGTTGAAAATCTATAGTGCTGCACTAATGGGTTCTGCTTGGCTGCAGCCCCCGGTCGGATGGCAGATAAGACATCAAGTTTATTCCAAGAAGGAGAGGAGGGAAACAACAACAACAACAAAAAAAGAGAGCAGAAATAAACCTCCCCAGGGAGCAAACATCAACGCAGCCCACATGTTTGTGATGGACGGGCTGAAATGGCAGGCGTCGGGGATTGCAAACTAAACGTGGTACCATTAAAACATTGCCAAATGGCTCTGCTTTCCTCTGGGGAAGAAAATTATGCTGGCATGAGATTTTGGGGGCTTGGTTTATTTTTTTTTTGCAAACTGGGGTTGGTGTTTTTTGGTTAGACGGGATAAATTTGGGACACACTGGGTGGAAATGGTGACCTGAGGAGCCAGGAGGTTATTTCCAGCTGGCAAAGCTGTGCAGGTGGAAGAAGGGAAAGGATGCAACATGGGAACAGACATGGCCTCTCGCTCAGGGGACCCAAATCACAGATTTTTCCCCCCCGATTTTCCATAGCAGCTGGGTGCTGCTCAGTAAAAGGGACGGACTTTGAAACTTCCAGTTTGTCTTTCCTCCAGCTGGGCTCTGTCCACATCTCACCCGGGTGGTTGTTACAGCAGGAAGCTGTCACAGAGCAGTGGCTCAGTGCCTGGTGGAGATCTCTGTCCTAGCCAAAGCCTTGGGTTTTGGGTACGAAACAAAGGATTTTTGAAACTCTTCCCATGTCTCACATGATGTAGGAAAGCAGCATCTCCCCCGGTGGGTCTCCCCTGTCTCCTCCTGCTGTGGAGGCGGGTGGGCAGAAGCTCTGGGGGTTCGGACCCGCTGTCCCCGTGCTTGAACCCAGGGAGAGCCACGGGAGAGGATACCCCAACACTTGCTTTTTCTCTCACAAACATGCACCTGCCGTTGGGACAGGTCAGTACCTGGCTTGTAGGGGGGGATAAAACCCCCACGGTGGGCTGTTAAAGAGCCCCCAAATACTGCTGGAGGCTCCCTTAACCGTGTAATATTGGGCATCACTGCGGCTGAGCACGTCCCATCGGTGCTGCCAGCGTCCTCCATCCTGCGGGAGGAACCTGCAAGGAGAAATGTTTCCTTCAACAGGGTTTTCACAACATCCCCCCCATGCCAGCGTGTCCAAAGGGTGAGAAACCGAAGCGCGCAGCTCGGGTATGACCCTTGCCACCCCTGGGACACCCCCATCCCGACTCCCTGGTTCCCCAGGGGGTTGTTTGACATCGATCGCTCGGGAAACAAAACTGCCAGCACGCATCTTCACAAAAAGCGAAATACTTTGAACCGCAGTTGAGTGTTGTGAGAGACTGAGGAGGGGACGTACCCCTGTTGGTGTCAGTCCCCGAGGGAAGACCCGCAGGAATTTAATTCTTCACCTCCCAGATTACCAACACTTTCCCAAAATACTCCTTTCCCGCCCTGAAACCGGGGCGCTGAGCTGCGGTGATGCGCTTTGCACCCACCTCATCGCCGCCTGCACCGGTGGGTGCCGCTGGTCCCTCCTATGAGGTTTCCCGTGAATTTTTTTCACACCCGTTCCTGCGTGAAAAAGTAAAAGCGCTCGTTTGCGTTGCCGGAGAAGGGCCCTTTCCCTCTCCCCGGCCAAGGCCGGGGCCCCGAGGCTCTCCCCTCCTCTCCCACCACAGGCCCGGGCTGATGTAGGGGCTGCGTTCACCGGGCGGCCCGAGGATCGTCTACCCGGAGCCGGGGTCCGGGTCCCGCCGAGCCTCTCCTCACACGGCCCGGTGGGGATCCCCGGCGCGGCCCGTGTCCTCCCCTCAGCCCGCGCGGACTACAACTCCCGTCATGCCCCGCCGAACTACAACTCCCGGCATGCCGCGCCGCACCACCTCATCTTCCCCCTCCCCTCCCGCAGC